AACAAGACAGGACAGCACAAAGGCCTGTAATCACAGCTCTCCTGGAGGCTATGGCAGAGGAGTGCAGATTTGAGGGTTGTCTCAAAAGGAAAGTTACAAAAAAAAAAAAAAACAGGAAAAAGCTGGGACCATAGCTCAGTGATGGAACACTTAATTGCCTGGTGTATGCATGGCCTTAGGTTCAGTTCCCAGTATGAACAAATACGTATTGTTTCTTTGAAAATTATTGAGATGTTATTTGGCTAATTTGGTTAACACAGACCTAGTCATCTGGGAAGAAGGAGTTGAGGAATTGTCTCCTTTAGATTGGCCTGTAGGCAGTGCTATTCTTAGGCAGTTAGGCCTGAGCTGTATAAGAAAGGTGGCTGAGTGTGAGCTTGGGAGGGAGCCAGTAAGCAATATTCTGTAGTTTCTGCTTCAAGTTCCTGCCTTGGCTTCCCTTACTGATGGACTGTAAAGTGGAGAGGAAATAAGCCCTTTCCATCCCAAGTTGCTTTTTGTCATGGTGTTTATCACTGCAACAGAAACCTTAACCAGGACAAACGCGTTGCATAGTCTGTTTGAGAGCAAATGGCTTAAACACTTCATTATTAAATTAGGTATCAATTAGAAAATTAAAGCAGTGAAACAAGTCCTGTCTCCAGATACTTCCATTTTCAGATTTTTGTAGTTGCTCTTTATAATGGTTATTAATTACCAACTTGAAAAGATCCAGGATCTCTTAGGAGACAAGTTTCTGGGCATGCTGTTGAGGGATTATCTAGATTACGTTAACTGAGGTAGAAAGATTCACCATCAATGTGGGTGGCACCATTCTTCGATCTGGGGTCTGGTACTGAATCAGAAGGAGAGTTGAGCAGCAGACTTCCTCCCTTCCTGCTTTCTACCTTTAGATGCAGTGTGCCCAGCTTCTCAAGCTGTTGCCCCATGATTTCTACAACATGGTGAACTGCACTTTTGAACTGTGAGCCCTCGTAAACCTTCCTTAAGTTTGCTTTTTGTCAGAACACTGAGAAAAGTAACAAATAATACCTGGTGGCAATAAACAATTCCTCCTGTACTATTATTATGTCTTTTAAACTGATCACTGGTAGAAAGTGGTCATTAGATTGCATTGCAAAAATATCTATTAGTAGTAGTGTTGTAAAACATTTCCTGTTGTATCCCAAGAAGCATATCTCCAGCTTTCTCTTCTGTGATGCTGTAGTTGATCACTGGAATGGATGTTGTCAGCTTAATCTATTTCCAGTAATGATCACTATCACTTTCTCTCTTTTGGCTTTCTGTTTATGCTCAAATTGATCAGATTTTTTTTAGAAGACTTGAAAATAAGCCCTAGATTCTTATTTTTGAATGCATAAGACTTTTACTGTGGTTGTCCTAGAGATCTCTCTTTTATCTAATTTTTAAATTTAATTTTTATTATTTTGAATTATATGTAGTGTCTGTGTAGAAATGTGTACCTGAATACAGAGGGCAGGGGTATCGGATGCCACTAGAGTTGGAGTATAGGTGATGGTGAGCCACCTGTTGTGGGTGTTGGGAATTGAACTTGGATCCTCTGGAAGAACAGTACATGCTCTTAACCACGGAACCATCATCTCTCCAGCCCCCATTTATTTCATTAAAAAAATTTCCCATTTGTCATCAGGACTCAGGTCTAAGGTGATCTGGGATATATTCCAAATACTTGAGTGCTTTGTGAGATACACTGCTTTTGGCTTCTAATAACCAATACTGACCATGACTTTTTTGTAACTATAATTAATTTCTATTGGCTTTCTTGTCATACTTCTCAGAAATAAGGCATATATTACTTATCCATATTTTGACATACAGTAGGTAGTGAATTAAATGTGGAATATGCTTTGTTTTCTAATTTTGTTTATTTACTTTTCATTAGTTTAAATCTGGGAAGGGTACACCATCACACACAAATTCTATGTCCAGTGACCTTTGCAGGAAGGTTGCTTTGGAATTTGGCATGAATCATATCACAGTTTCCATGGGCCCAAGTTACTTTCCCCAGATTACTCTGGTTTATTTCAGTTTGCCTCCAGAAGACACTGTGTTGTTTTTTGCTTTATATGTAAAAGTATATCTCTTGCCTGAGGAGAACTCACTCTCATCTCAGGCATAAACACTTTCAACTCTTTAAGAAGAGCTCTGTGCTCTCTTTGTGCCAGAGATCTCTCTTATAGCCAGCAAAAGTGGCCTTGTACCACAGCCCTCTAGACATAATTGCCTTTTAGAAGTCCTGTTTCTAGCAGGCACACACACACCACTACCACCAACACCATTACCAACATCACCACCAAGAACAATAATAATAAAGTAAATTTGGACTGAAGAGCTCTGTCAGTGGGTAGAGGCACTTGCTACCAAGCCCAGTGACCTGAATTTTGTCCTCAGGACGCATATGCCAGCCTTAACTATATACCAAGTTCCAGGTCAGTGGCTATATAGTGAGCTCTGTCTCAAAGAAAAAATTTTCTCTTAAGATTAAGCTTCTGCAGCTTGATGGTTATTTATTCTTGTTTCTCTTTATTCCAGTTTTATCCTCTGTTAAAGGTCCTGTTTTGTTATTTGTAGGTTTTTTTTATTCTTTTGGAATAAGTCAAGGCAAATTACATAAATAAACATCTTTACTTTTATTAATGAAGAAACTAAACCAGCTATTTCCAGAGTTACATAGATAGTTAGAGAGGGAAGGTGGGAAATTCAGCCTGGTTCTTTTGTACCTCATCTTTTTTTTTTTTGTGGGGGGGGAAGGTTTGAGACAGGGTTTCTATGTGTTGTTTTGGTCCTGGATCTCACTCTGTAGACCAGGCTGGCCTCAAACTCAACAGAGATCTGTCTGGCTCTGCCTCCCGAGTGCTGGGATTAAAGGTGTGTGCCACCACTGCCCAGCTGTACCTGATGTTTAAGCTACACTGGTCTTTAAGTTCGAAAAGAGTTTAGTTTTTACTCAGTAAGCTGTGGCACATAGTACTATACAGTGAGCAGTAAGGTTCCCAGAGAGTTGAGAGAGCATGGAAGGAGCCCAGAGGCCTCTGCTGATTCAGCTTTTAAAACTCCCACATGCCATTGCATAAAAAGGGCACTGAGAATATCTTCAGCTTGGTCTGCAGAGTCAGATCCAACCCACACAGTGGAGTACTAGAACCAGTTGGTCTGGCTTTGGTAATTTCCATTCAGTACAAATGTATAATCTAGGTATTTTAAGGAATGGTTCTGAAACTTTCAGGACTCCAGAATAGACTAGTTCCTAAAGGGAAGAGAATGGGTTTGAGCCCATAGTTCCTCATTTCTGTCAGGCAAGTG